CGATTTTGAGAGAAGTATTATTGATGAAGTAGACTTTTTAGTCAGGGGCCACACCCCGTCCACTTTGTTCCCCTCTCTCGCGGGTAATTCGCTCCACGACTTTCTTGTCGGGGTACCCTTCCGTCCATTGTGGTCCCCGATAGGGTCCCGGGGGATATAAAGTTGCTCCCCGACGAACACTGTTTTATACAGTTGGTAAAAGAATGTATTACAATCTGCAAATATATGGTGTTTGTTTTCGCAGTATGAAGTAACAGAAAGCTTGTATTAAGACAGCAATGAGTTGAGCTGTTATCGAATAACTTATAGGGGACGAATTAATAATGTTGTCATTACAGGAGTATTACAGTTGGTCTGTTTGCGGTCGGTGGAATGATCGGAGGGTTGATGTCCGGATGGGTCGCCGATCTGTTGGGACGTAAAGGGGCAATGTTCGCCAACAATGTTCTGGCAGTGATTGCAGCCATTTTCATGGCATCAGCACGCTACGTGTACATCTATCCGTTGATTATGGTTGGACGTGTAATCATCGGTATCAACTGCGGTATGTGTTGTTGTTCTCTTGGAAGGATCGTTTGCGATCAGATTCGAAATTTTCATTTGCTGATTCATTCCAGCTGCTGAGAGGGTACTACTGATGTGCGACAGTGAAGCATTTCAGGTATCAGTTCGGGTCTTGTGCCGATGTATCTCACCGAAATATCACCGGTCAATCTGAGAGGTGCGATTGGTAGTGTCAATCAACTGCTGGTCACAATCGCTATTCTCTTCTCGCAAGTCATCGGATTACCACAATTGCTCGGTACTAGCCGGTTATGGCCTCTTATATTTGGTAAGTAAATTTGTGTTGTACATCTTCAAAACTTATCGATTACATTTCATCTGTAATCTGAAAAAGTTTTGAATTTCTGCAAATTTTGAAACAAATCTCCTTGAATCAATCTCAGATTGTGGTTTTCTGAAGGATTGATGAATCAAAACTTGAATATTTCAGCATTCACTGTTGTACCAGTTCTCGTTCAAGTATGCGTTTTGCCGTTTTGTGTGGAATCACCAAAATTCAACTTGATTGTCAAGGATCGAGTTCAGCAAGCTGAAGTGGATTTGAAGAAATTGAGAGCAAAAGATGACGTGAGTTGTGCTCTTCTCATCGATACTGCGATATTGTTATCAATAACGTGATTCCTTATGACAGTTGTCACTCTTGTCACAATTCATCATGCGTTCTTATTCGATTTTTCTTTGATTTACTTTCGTTCTTAATCGGTTTTTAATAGCGTGATATCGCTATACAGTAAAAGAGCGGAATACTTATTCCGTTATTTGAATACGTTGAAGAAGAAAATAGCGATAGTTATTACCCATCTCATTTGAAGAAGAAAATAGCGATAGTTATTACCCATCTCATTTGAAGAAGAGAATAGCGATAGTTATTATCCATTATTACCCATTACCCACGGTATTACTTATTTGAAGAAAATAGCGATAGTTATTATCCATTATTACCCATTATCCACGGTATTACTTATTTGGAGAAAATAGCGACAGCCATTGCCCATTACTGGTTATATCGTATTTTGTTATTCGCTCCGGTCGTACTGACGATACCGCTTAAGCCACAGCACAGAGAAAACTGTTCTCATTTGCAGGTTTCGGCTGAGATGGATTTGATGCGTGAAGAGGCTGCGCAGATGGCAGCAGTTGAGAAGGTGAAGATGTCCGACTTGTTCGGTGGTGCTTACAGATGGCCGTTGTTCATTGCGGTTATGATGATGATGGCACAGCAGTTCAGTGGTATCAACGTGGCCATGTTCTTTTCGACGGCCATCTTCGAGGGTGCTGGACTGGGGGCGAACGCCATTTACGCGACTCTTGGAATGGGACTTTGCAATGTGATCATGACGATGATTTCGGTTTATTTGGTCAGCATTTTGTAATCAATTTCTTGATGTCTTACCGTTTTTGATGAGTTAATCATTACTTATTCCACTCATTTATTTTATCATTACGATTCATTCATTATCAGATGTTTGGTATCGCTCTTATTGTTAGTGTTAACGTGGTCCTCATCATCTTTATATTCAATTTTCTTCATTTGCCTGGATAACTTTTCTGTGAACAACTCAATGTTACCTGTTGATTGCATAATTGGTAACATGCTGACAAATTATCACTGATGTATCAATTAATTGTAGGTGGATCATCCCAAATTCGGACGTCGTTTGCTGTTATTGATCGGTTTAGCTGGAATGATGGTCACTTCAATTCTGCTTACAATCATGATTTCTGTTTACGTAAGTCCATCGTTATCGGAGTTTTCTGTCTAAAAAAAGTATCCTTGTGGTAGAGTAACAAATTGTCCATGTGTTAATCATTTAAAGTATGAAAATTCAAACAAGGTAGAGTATGAAAATTCCCTTCTTTTAATAAATGCATTTGTACGAGTTCAGAATGCGAATACAGTCGAGAATCAGTGGGCATCGTATCCAGCAATGGTGTTCGTGTTCCTGTTCGTTATTTCATTCGCTACCGGACCTGGTTAGTTACGCTACAAATATTAGAAATAATTGTTGCTCTCCATCTGTTGTCCCTCGCATACCTTTATCAGTTCCGTATATCATCCATTCGACATGTATTTATGCTTTCTGCAGAATCAATATTTAAAGATGTCTTTTGAAGGTTCAATCCCGTGGTTCTTCGTTTCTGAGCTGTTCGATTCGGGCGCACGTGGTGCTGCAAACTCGATTGCTGCCAACGTTAACTGGACATCAAACTTCATTGTTGGTACCAGCTGGGAATTTTTGAATGTGAGTTTGTTCACTTTCAGATCCATTAGCGATTCTTTTATACTTCTCAATTTCACACCATTCAGTGGGCTCGTCACATGTTCGCATTTAACATTTTCTCATGGTTTTTTTTTCAGTTTCAGATACCAATAGAAAGTTTCGATTCATTCTCTCACTGAACTGTGCATTCATATTTTATCGTTCATACTATCTGCATTGACTGTATTCCCAAAGCATGCTTGCTTATTCAGTTATAAACAAAAATTTTATGCTCTCATTGAGCAATTAATCCATTGAATCTAAAATTTTAAAAAATGTTCTAAAGGATCAAAAAATATTCTCCAGTATTCCAAATATTTGATTTC